CCGCACTACTGTATATAGTAGTATAATGGATAAGCTACAAGGACCCACTGCATAGCACAGGAAACGATACTCATATTTCATAATAACCTATAAGGGAAAAGAATATGAAAAATTATGTATACATTCTTTTATACATATTGTACATATACTATATATATTGCATATATAAGATACTATGTAATATATAAATATTATATATCAGACATATGTAATTTTATATATATTATATATATAATATATATAAAATACATACTACATATAAAATAATATATGTAGAGAAAATTCAGATATATATCTGAATCACTTTTCAGTATACGTGAAAATAACACAACATTGTAAATCAACTATACCTAAATTAAAGAAAAAAAGAAGTCCTGGCTTCTAGCTTTGGCTCAGTTTCAGCTTGTATTGTGATTTGAGGCAAATCACTTCATTTTTCTAGGCCTCATTGACCTCATCTATAAAATAAGAGGGTTGAATTACATAATTTCTCTGGTTTTATGTGGTGCCAATATTTTATGACTCATGAATCAAGTGAAAATTCATCTGTTAATAATATAAACAGGTGACCTTATTTTTTTTTTGCTTGTTTTTGTTAGAAAGCATGACAATAACTACGTTCTTGAAATTTACACAATCATAATATAATCTTCCATAAAATCAGTAAACACCTTGTATTTGAAACGTAATTTTGATAAATATGTATCCATGTACCCTGGTGGCCCAGTGGTAAAGAATCTGTCAGTGCAGGAGACACAAGTTTGATCCCAGGGTCGGGAAGATCCCCTGGGAAAGGAAGTGGTAATCCATTCCAGCATTCATGCCTGTGAAACCTATGGACAGAGGAGGCTGGTGGGCTATAGTCCATGGGATTGTGAAAGAGTCGCACACGACTGAGCGACTCAACAACCACCACCCCCCTGTGGTTACTCTGCACTTTAGGGATCCTACCCATTCCAGAGAATTCCAAGGGAGAGATCACTCAGTCATGTCTGACTCATGGACTGTAGCCTGCCAAGTTCCTCTGAACATGGGATTTTCCAGGCAAGAATACTGGAGTGGGTTACCATTTCCTTCTCCAGGGGATCTTCCCAATCGAGGGATCGAGCCCCAGTCTCCCACACTGCAGGCAGACTCTTTACCACATGAGCCACTCTGGAAGCCCCTTCTAGAATTCCAAAGAATTAGCCATTTCCTGATGTCCACTTGGCTGTCAGTATCCTTGAACAGCATCCTTCTAAACTGACCTTTTATAGTAGCTGTTTTTACAAGAAAGATAATACTCCAGCAATAATAAAAATTCACTAGTTTCTCTCCCCTATATTCAACCAGAGTTTATATTCTAAGTCTTTATCACAGGTGTTCAAATGTCTCACATTTGTCTATTATGTTCACATTTCCTTTCATGCCGCTGATGAGGCTGTACTGGACCCTGTTCTGTGTTCTTGGGGGAAAACAGGGAGCTCGTAGTTCGTGATTAGTGAGCAAAGACAGACAAGCCCAAGGGCTGCCGCTTGAGCTGTGTCTGCTGCCCCCTCACTGTCTCTTCCTATTATATTAACTTGTGCTCTGAAGGATGTTTACCAGAGCCACACTCCTTGGACCCCTGTCATCCGTGTGTCTTTTCTCACCTTCAACATGATCTGGACTGGTGTTTTCATTTGTTAAAAACAACAAGGACATTTACTGGGAAACTTCTGCTGGAATCCTTTCAGGTCATCATAGCTATTTATTCTCTGTCATAAACTATAATTCTCCATTTCCCTTACCCCCACGTCAGGGGAGTCGGTGGTTTATGGTGGACAGTCAGCGGAATTTGAGTGAACAGTGGAAGATTTCAAAGAACTACTGAGAGATTATGTAGCAGGTTGTAGCACTAAGAACAAAACATAAAACCTTCTTGTTCTCCATCACAGTTTGGCAGTACAAGAAGAAATGGGCTTACCCAATGGCATAAAGGATTTAGAATTTATGCTTATACCTGTGAAAACAGTTCCTCTGAGGAAAGAAAGCAAATCATGGGATTGGATTAATAAGGAATTTCCTTTATATGATTAAAATGGCCCAGGTTCTGTCTAATTGGCCTCAGCCTGGGGTTGGTGTGGAAGTTAAAGATTTTTTCAGACTTCTGTTTAACAGGAACATGAAACGTGGGTGCGGTGCTGTCATTAAAGGCATGAATGAGCAAGAGAGAGGGAAACCTGAAGCACAAGACATGTAGAACTGTAAACAAAAAGATTTGGAAAGAGAATGGGAGCAATAGGAATGCCTCCATATATTCAAACATGAAGGAAAATACAAATGCAAGGCAACAACTGAAAGATCTATGATCCTAGGTGTTTGAACTGTAGTGTTGACATTATTGTAAAGTAATTTTTCTAATAGCTAAATGGTGGTAAAATCAAGGATGTTGTTGAAATATTCCAGGCTTTGATTGTTGCTGTTGTTGTTTAGTCACTCACTGCCAGAAATCATGATAATCAAATTGGCTTCATTCTCAAGATGCCACTGATCTGACCTTCTTTCTTTTTTTCTTTTTTTCATTTATTTTTATTAATTGGAGGCTAATTACTTTACAATATTGTAGTGGTTTTTGCCATACATTGAGATGAATCAGCCATGGATTTACATGTGTTCCCCATCCCTATCCCACCTCCCGCCTCCTTCCCCATCCCATCCCTCTGGGTCTTCCCAGTGCACCAGCCCTGAGCACTTGTCTCATGCATCCAACCTGGGCTGGTGATCTGTTTCACCCTTGATAGTCTACTTGTTTCAGTGCTGTTCTCTCTGAACATCCCACCCTTGCCTTCTCCCACAGAGTCCAAAAGTCTGTTCTGTACATCTGTGTCTCTTTTTCTGTTTTGCATATAGGGTTATCGTTACCATCTTTTTAAATTCCATATATATGCATTAGTATACTGTAATGGTCTTTATCTTTCTGGCTTACTTCATTCTGTATAATGGGCTCCCTGACCTTCTTTCTTATTGAGAGTGTCACAGAAGTGCCTTTGAAGCAGGGCTCCTGGTTGAGGCACCACAATGGAAAGAACCAGGGAGGTGGTCAATTCTGAAGACACCCATAAAGATGAAAGAATGAATGTCAGCAGCTTCTTAGACACTGAATGGGGGAATGGGGTTGAGATCATATGGTTTTTCTCCTACAGAAACAGTTTCCTCAAGACAGGGAAAGTTTCACATTTTCCCTGGACACAAATTCAGCAAGCACTTACTGTATATGGGTGCTTTACCTCTCAGGAGGGAACGAGCAGTCTCTGTTCTGAGCTCCAAGGGCATCACTGGTGAAGCAGCACTCGTGAAGAAGGTGGTCTCTCATCAGAAGTCTTGGAGGCCTCAGGTAGGCACTGAGAGATCTGTGCTGGGAGTTCCTAGATTTAAGCTGCACTTTGAATCCCCACCCAACTCTGGAATATGCCCCCAGTCTACAGTAATAATACTATAGCTCAGGTGTGGATCATTCTTCGTGGGACATCAGGAGTCACACTAGTAGTTTTCATGAGTGTTTTGTGTGTTCATAGTTACAGAGGGTCAGGAGACTTCGGCTGTTTTTGTTCAGTGGCTCAGTCATGTCTGAGTCTTTGTGACCCTGTGGACTCTAGCCCTCCAGGCTCCTCTGTCCATGGAATTTCCCAGGCAGGAATACTGGAATGGGTTGCCATTTCCTTCTCCAGGAGGTCTTCCCAACCCAGGGATCAAACCCATGTCTCCTATATTGGCAGGTGGGTTCTTTATCACTGTGCCACCTGGGAAGCCCTCAAGAGAATTTACATGTTGAAAAAAAGCAACTTGAGAACTACTTCCATTGAATGTGGAACAAGTGGCCATGCTCTCTTTCCCTCCATCCTCACTCTCACTCCTCGTATTTTCCTTTGAGATGAGTGGGGAAAGCGATTGGAAGGGTGAGTCTGGTTCATCAGGCCGAGCATGTGACTTGGGCCTGAGCAACTCAAGCTGCAAACCTCTGAGTACTACAAGGGCTCTGCGGTGCCTTAGGTGTGAGTGTGAGGGGACAGTGATGTTAGCACAGCTGGTATCCCACTCAGTTCCACATGTCCATCGTTCCTGCTGGACTGAGGGAGGGCAGCAGGACAGAGCACACGACTCCCTTACAGCCCTGGGCAGGCTGGACGACCAGCTGGCCACAGTGCCTTTGGGGGAACTCTGAGAAAATCAAGGAGGAATCTTGATGGCTAAAAACTTGAGGACATGATTATCCAAGGGTTCCTAAGACCTCAAAGCCCTAGAGCTCAAATTTGGGGTGAAACTGGTTGAGAGGTCTTTCAGGACTGTTCTTGAGTTCTTAGTGAATTCCAGGTCAGCGTCAGCTGGGGTGGGGAGGTGTTGTAGCACTAGCCCTGATCTAAGCTGATGCCCTTGATGCCTAACTCAGCAACAGCATGGAACCGTGAACACACACAGTGAGGAATTGTTTGTTTCTTCCAGGAAGATGCATGGGAAAAACAGAAATCCTTCTAATCTGTTTGAATATAGCTTTTCCTCTATAACTGCATTTGTGTTGATGTGGGTTTGTTGTGGTGACATAACCAGGGAATTGTTCGGCTCCTCGGTTCTGAAACTGTGTGAATGAACATAGTATTACCTAAGACAAATGAGGTCCAAAGCAATCTCTTCTCCTTTCCCCATCTCTGGAGATGTCCAGAGAATATAGAAAGGAGTAAAATCTTTCTTTAGCCCTCTTTGACAAAACAGGCTTCAAGGAGCATATGAAAAGATCTCTCTGAGAGTTCAGGTCTGGTTGAAGATTTAGAAGCAACAAACATCAAAACTGCTGTGGGTTCTTGGTGTATGAACTTGATGGCATTAAAACCCATATTTGCTCCCGGAAAGTGGCATTTGGCCCTAGCACTTTGATGAGCATGGGAGCCACGGCAACAGTTTCACTGTAGATATACAGTGAAGAAGTATAGACCAGACCTCTGACGTGACTTTAGCTCCTTTATCATCAATTTCTTGTATTCCAGATGATCAACTGAACTCAGAGGAAAAGAAGAAAAGAAAGCAGCGGAGGAACAGGACAACCTTCAACAGCAGTCAGCTGCAGGCTTTGGAGCGTGTCTTTGAGCGGACACACTACCCAGATGCTTTTGTGCGAGAGGACCTTGCCCGCCGGGTGAACCTCACCGAGGCCAGAGTGCAGGTAACCAGAGTGCTCCCCGCCTCAAGGCGCGTCTCTGAAGACTGTTGAAAAACACCTCTTGTAGGTTTCAGACCAGAGCTGAGAGTAAGAAGGATTATAAATGGGCAGCATGAGGACAGAATCAGTTTCTGATTGTGTTTCTTTTGGCAGAAGCATATTTTTAAAAATCAAAGTGAAGGCCTTTCGGTAGGGCAGAATATGCCTTGCTGGCAGTCTCACGCCTCTCACTGTTTCCCACCCTTCCAGATTCATGTTATAAACATTGTCCATCAGAGGATTTGACTCTGCACCTTCCCCACCACCTTGCCCCAGCTTTCAACTTGAGCAGTCGGGTGGTCAAAGAGATGAACTCTCTGTCCCCCACCTCAGTTTTCCTCCCCAGACTTTGGGAATGTCCAGATCTTCAAGAAACATGTTTATAATGATGGACATGGATGGCAGTGGGGAATGAACACATCAAAGTCGTTGAACTTAGAAACTGCATTAAGAGCACATTTAAGTAGGTGATTTTGTGTTTCTGTGAAGTGAAGAAGGGTAAGTGCATGTAAAACAAGGTGAAAAGAGAATAGTAATTCTTTCAAATATTAATGCCATGACTCATCAACTACAAGCCAGACATCTAGAAGTAATACAATCTGTGATTAGGAATAATAATGATGATAATAATAACTAATACGAGCTGAGCCCTTGTATGCTAACCAGTGTCCTTAGTTACATAACTGATCTGTCTAATCATCACCCCAATTCAGTGAGGTGGATAATATTATTCATCTGACAGATACGGAAACTGAGACTCAGAGATTAAAGGATTGTGTATAATGTGACACAGTTAGGAAGGGGCTGAACTAGAATTTGAAGACACATATGCAGATCTAGAGTTCATGTTTTTAAGCATTACAGTAGGTTTTAAATAAATACATAAACAAGTCCTCTGGCTACATGCTTTTTCAAGCAGTGCTTTGCTATCTCTGCTCAGAATCCAGATTGATTATCTTCCATATTGCTGGAGGTAGGCTTGTCTTCCCTAATAAGTTATTGTTTGTAAATCTGTGTTCAGTCTGAGATTGAAGAATTTCTTTTTTTTTTCATTTATTTTTATTAGTTGGAGGCTAATTACTTTACAATATTGTAGTGGTTTTTGTCATACATTGACATGAATCAGCCATGGATTTACATGTATTCCCCATCCCGATCCCCCCTCCCACCTCCCTCTCCACCCGATTCCTCTGGGTCTTCCCAGTGCACCAGGCCCGAGCACTTGTCTCATGCATCCAGCCTGGGCTGGTGATCTGTTTCACCCTAGATAATATACATGTTTCGATGCTGTTCTCTCAAAACATCCCACCCTCGCCTTCTCCCACAGAGTCCAAAATTCTGTTCTGTACATCTGTGTCTCTTTTTCTGTTTTGCATATAGGGTTATCGTTACCATCTTTCTAAATTCCATATATATGCATTAGTATACTGTATTGGTCTTTATCTTTCTGGCTTACTTCACTCTGTATAATGGGCTCCAGTTTCATTCATCTCATTAGAACTGATTCAAATGAATTCTTTTTAATGGCTGAGTAATATTCCATGGTGTATATGTACCACAGCTTCCTTATCTATTCGTCTGCTGATGGGCATCTAGGTTGCTTCCATGTCCTGGCTATTATAAACAGTGCTGCAATGAACATTGGGGTGCACATGTCTCTTTCAGATCTGGTTTCCTCGGTGTGTATGCCCAGAAGTGGGATTGCTGGGTCATATGGCAGTTCTATTTCCAGCTTTTTAAGAAATCTCCACACTGTTCTCCATAGTGGCTGTACTAGTTTGCATTCCCACCAACAGTGTAAGAGGGTTCCCTTTTCTCCACACCCTGTCCAGCATTTATTGCTTGTAGACTTTTGGATAGCAGCCATCCTGACTGGCGTGTAATGGTACCTCATTGTGGTTTTGATTTGCATTTCTCTGATAATGAGTGATGTTGAGCATCTTTTCATGTGTTTGTTAGCCATCTGTATGTCTTCTTTGGAGAAATGTCTGTTTAGTTCTTTGGCCCATTTTTTGACTGGGTCATTTATTTTTCTGGAAAGACAGCCCTCAGATTGGGAGAAAATAATAGCAAACGAAGCAACAGACAAAGGATTAATCTCCAAAATATACAAGCAACTCCTGCAGCTCAATTCCAGAAGAATTTCTTTTTGAAAAATACTTCTTTAAAGATTTATTTACTTTTGGTTCTACTGGGTCTTCATTGTTGCCCAGGCTTTTCTCTAGTTGCAGAGAGTGGGGCCTACTCTTCATAGCAGTGCATGGGTTTTTCGTTGCCCTGGCTTTTCTTTTGGGGAACGTGGGCTCCAGAGCACAGACTCAATAGCTGTGGCGCACGGGCTCAGTTGCTCTGCAGCATGTAGGATCTTCCTGGACCACAGATCAAACCCGTGTCTCCTGCTTTGGTAGGTGGAATCTTCATCCCTGAGCCACTGGGGTAGGCCCTGGGCTTGAAGGATTTCTTTCTGCAAATGATAACTCTCTTGATGGGGTACTTGGGCTAGGGTGTGGAAGGGTGTGGAGGCTAGGGACTGTATGCAGAACCCTACACTTTGAGAGATATTTGTTGAGTTGAGGGCGAGGGTCTGAGAGGTTGTCTCAGCCTGAAGACAGTGTGCAAGCATTGTCCCTGTGAAATGGGGATCTCACCTAAAAGTCCTCCCCAGGAGAAAAAAAAAAATGTCTTTGACCAAACGGGTAAGTTGCCTGGGCACTGTGGTATCCCTGAGGATAGGTTAGGAACGGGCAGATGTGAGGATGCTGGTGTTACTATGTGGGAGTCTCTCAAGGCTCAGATGAGAGTGGTCCACAGGCACAAATTCAGTTCTGCTCTCTCCATCCTGCTGTCCAAAGCACAACTCTGAGGTCAGCCTTCCCACATCCTCTTCCCCCATGCTGCTCACCACAGTTCTCCAAACATGCTCCCTGTTTCTACTCTTAAATCCTTTCCTCTCTCCTTCAAAACCCATACTTTTTTATGCCCCAGCCTTGGCCTCCCGTGGTATAATAAATAATTTTAGGTCAATAACTCACAATGCCTGAAAGTACCACTTTTGCCATGGTGATCTGAATTTTAAATAAGGGAACCTGAACAGGGCAATGTTGGGAATTAACAAAAAAAGGTGAAAGAGCAATTTTGAATTAGGGAGCTCAATTGGTCCCATCACAATAAGCAAATGACATTCTTATATGTTGAAACTATTTTATCTTCTTCCTTTTCCATCCTACTATGTTCTAAAGTCTTTTAGAATTGTGAACATTTCTCATGTAAGCAGGACAGAATTCTCCCTTTGTGACTTTATTCTTCCTCTGTGAAGACTTACCCTTTGCCAGTCTAAACCACTGCCTCTGAATCTGGCCTTCTTTATATTTATGGCCTTTATCACAACGTGACGTGTATTATATTGAGTTGTACGCAGGCCAACTTCCCCAGCTAGACTGTGAAGTTCTCTTGGATGGAAGCCATATCTTATCATCTTTGCAATCTCATTTTTTCCCTGTCTTTTTTTCCTCTCAAATATTTATCAAGCATCTGTTATTCTCTTGGAACTGGTTTTGCTTTGCTGGGGATAAATAATACACTGGCTCTTTCCTCAAAGATGTTCCAGACTGGGAGCAGAGAAGACAAATGTGCAGATCATATTATTATCAGAGCATAAGGTGATTCCTACACTAAAGGAATGTTCAAGAATTAGTGATAGATCAGAGGAAGGACTGATTAAATCTGCCTGGGGAAAAAGAGAATACATGAACATTGAGTAGCCATTCTATGCCAAGTCTCACAACAACCTGTGAGTTGGTATTATCATCTTTATTTGATTGTGAGACAAAGGATCAGAGACATATATAACTATCCAAGGACAAATCTTTAAGTCATGGAGCCAATATTTTTCTTTAACTCTGTTAGATTGTAAAGTCACGTTCCTTCCACTCTAACATTTCACAAAGAAGGTGATGTTCAAGTTAAACCTTAAAAAAACAAGTCGTTGGCGCCTGGATAAAAGGGGAGAATACTGCAGACAGAACATTCAGTGTGAATACATATAGGTGGGAAAATAGCCAAATACATTTGGGAGTCTTAACCCCAGAGTAAGATCTGAAATGATGAAGCACCAGTGTGTGAGGGCCAAGTGATACAGAATGTGGCTGAATCGATGGACAGTGAGCTAATTCTTGAACCATCTTTGTTCTAGAATAAAGATAAGATATTATCCTTGATATGTTTGATAAAACATTTTGATTTTACTCTGTGGGTGGCAGAGAGAGTCAGTGGATGATAGAAAGCTAACGAGAAGCACTAATACAATTATATTTGCATTTAAAATGATAACTCTAATAGAAATGTGAAGGACACCTTAGAAACAAAAGAGCTGAAACCAGAAAAGATTCTTCCTCTACTGATTTGTACCCTGGCCTTCCATGGGGCACCAATCACATGGTATTCTATGTGAATGTTGCCAGCTAGCACTGTGAAGTTGTCCCACTCTGCACCATAGGATTTCTTTCTCCCACTTTTGTCATGCCTTTCCATAACTGTACCTGAGATTCTTGTATTGCTGTCTTTCAAATTTACATGTCTGTCTTCTTTTAGTAGATTGTGAGCTGCTTATGAGCAGAGAGTAAGTCTTATCTCTCCATTCCCAATATTTAGGCCAGGATCTAGAATGCAGTCTCCACAAGGACTTTGTGAATGAGTAAATGAAGGAATAAAATTCCACAGCAGTACAGAAGAATTGTAAGATCATGAGTCAGATGTCCTTGAGCTCAAAAACTCAGCCATTTATTACTTCTGTGAACTTCAACAGAGTCTTTCATCTCATTGAAATGGTTTTCTCAACTCTGAAATAGAAATAATAACACCTGTTGGGAATTGTCATAAGTATAAAAAATGTAGGTAACATGTTTGTATAAATTCCTAGCCCTAGTAGCACTTAATAAATGGTAGAGTTTTTATTAGCTGTCATCAATGGTACCAGTGCTGCCCATTTCCTTGGAAGCCAGCAATTAAATATACTCTAACCAGCTTCCAACTTTCAGTATCTGAATTTCTGTTTCACAAGTTTCTTTCTAGAACTTCAGGAGACATGCCAGAAGTGTTGGAACATTAACCAGTGACTGACAGGAGCCAATGTATGAATCCACAACTCTCTCACCCCTCCAGTGGGAGGTGTATGCCCTGTGTTATCCTTAGGGTCTCTCAAGGACGAAGCGCCCACAGACAGAGCTGGTTCAGTAGCACACCAGTTAAGAGGTTGCTTTTCTTCTGTTACTTCCTCCCTCTTCTGTGGTTATTCCTTGCACCTCCCAGATAAACTATTTGCTTCTGAAATCCTTAAAGCAGGGTCTACTTTTGGGAAGATGGGAGACTTTCTTTAAATATGCAATAAGTATCATAAAAGCAGATGATGTTTCCGCCCTTTGAAGAACTTTGAAGTAACTTTAAAAATATCACTATACCTGTGGCAGAAGTCTGGATGAGATTTTTCTATTTACTATAATTCTGAGAGGAATTATAATCCACAATTTGCTGTCAAATGGGTTCGTCATGGATCCAGTATCTGGTGGCCTGATCACTGGAAGCACCTCTTAGTCTTTGTTCTTAATAGCCCTGGAACAGGGCCCACTGGGGAAGGATTATGGCATGTTTTCTGTTGTTCTAGGAAGAATTCCATGCTTAGCCTATATCTTCCTTGGGAAGGTGTTATATGGTAAAAATCAACCAGGAGTTTATTCATGGAACCTCTCCTTTGTTTTTCCTCTCCCTCCTCATGCCCTTCTCTCCTTCCGACAATCTTCCAGGTGTGGTTTCAGAACCGAAGAGCCAAATTCCGCAGGAATGAGAGAGCCATGCTGGCCAATAAAAACGCTTCCCTCCTCAAATCCTACTCAGGAGACGTGACTGCTGTGGAGCAGCCCATCGTACCTCGTCCTGCTCCAAGACCCACTGATTATCTCTCCTGGGGGACGGCCTCTCCGTACAGGTGAATGACTGGCCCACCCTCCCTTGCTCCACCTCCACACATTTCTCAACGGTTGGTCACATTCAAAGCTGCTTGTGCAGCTGGCTGACATTTCTTACTGGGTTAACCTCTTCAGAGACATTCAACTTGCTGACATCCCCAGATTTTCACAGGAGATCACTAGTTGCCCCAGGAGCAGGGTCTGGGGCAGAAGAGAGAGGGGCAGGCCAACAGCAGTCTCCTCTTGGACTCAGGAACTATTGCAAAGGTTTCAAAGATGGGGAAGAATCTAAAAGAAAAGATCGTTGAGCTATGCCCAGAGTCCCTCTTGCAATCATTCTGGAACAAAACTTTATTCCATTTCCAAATTGGATAGATTGGCTGGATTATACTCAAGTAGGAATTTAACGCATAAGGCTCTAAGTGTAGGACCAAAGGCAAACTTCACAATAAAACTGATGTGGAATGAAAAGAAGTAAGGAAGGGGAAAAAGAAGGAAAGAGACAGAGAGAGAAGGGAAAAAACCCAAGATCATTCAGATCACTCTCATGGCCATAGATCTTTATTAATAGGTGGGAATGTCTTATGATCCAAGATGCTTTCCTATTCTATTGCTAGTTCTTGTTGACTTATTTGAAGTTCTTTGGGGGTTAGTTTGTGTGGGTTTAAAAAATATATATGAAAGCAGTGTATAGTTTTCACTAAATTTTTATATTTAAAAGGTGAAAAATATTAAGGAAGCAAATAACATAATATTATTTCAATTGCTTGGAAAAGCTTTTAACTTTCATTGATTATGCTGTTCAGAAAAAAACAGACTAATGCCAGTGGGAAGCTGAAACACATGTGCCCAATGCATTGTCATCAGTCTAAAGTGTCTATTTGAAGCTAAGCCTGAGTACTCTTAGAAACCAGATCAAGGCTCTGTATTCTCTGGCCAATTGTAGCAGAGGAAGAAGTATTTACAAACCACATACTATGCTTCTGTTTACCTTTTTATTGTTAAGGTTAATTAAGCGTTTAAAGAGAGGTTTTAAAATAAGTGTAAGAGATTATCTCCTAGTTGATGCTGAGTTCCTGGTGTGAAATGCAACATTAGTGAAATGCAGATAGTTTTGAATTTGATCTAATTAAAGCAAAAACCTTACCTAAATATTCTTTCTGTTTGAAATCAGTTCCTTGAAATAAATGCTATAAATGCATTTGGAAATTTCTTTTAAATTCCCCATTATGAAATTAGCCTGACTTGCTTTGGTCTATGCTTAGGAAGTTGGAAATTTCTATTGCTCTTAGACACAGTATGCTTTGCTGATTTCAAAAGATTAGTCCTATTTGTGTGTCCTTTTTAAAATTTAGACTCCTTTCCCAAAGGATTTACTAAAAACATATTTTTCAGACCATTATAAAATCACGTATTCTTTAATTTTTTTAAATAAGTGAAAGCTTGCTTTGGTGGGTTTGTTTGTTTGTTTTTTAATAAATATTGATAGCTCATAGACTCATTAAATGGTTTGGGAAGTGGATTTGGATCAGAGCTTCAAGTCTCTGGTTTGAATTTGGTCACAACCAGGAAGTTTAGCTCCTTTTTATTTATTCCTGGATCCTAGTAAGGAACTTTTTTTACCAGCTGTAATAACCGAGATGGCTGTCATGTGGTCCTTACCAGTGAGAGATGGAAGGCAGTATACTGCATAGTGGAGATGAAAACCTTAATATTAGACTAGATTACCTGGACCTCAGCAGAAGTTCAAATCCCATGCCTGCATTATACAAACTTTGTATATGGGCATCCAACTGAAATTATTAACATGCAACTTATGTATGCTTTTTGGGGAAGTGTTATATTTTAATTTGAAAGATTGTGTAGAAATTCTAGATACACTTTAAAAAAAACACTCATAATTCCACCATCTTGAGATAACTAGTGTTTATTTTTGCAATTAGAGTTCAGTATTTTATATAGTATAGACATAGTGTAAATACTATTTTGTATTCTGCTCCTTTCACTTAAAATCATATAATCTAGTTACTTCTTATTCAATTCATGGTATACTTTTATATCTTTTCTCTCTTAGACACAGAGTTTGTAAAAAATAATTAAAAATTTCATAGAATCTGACTGTTCATATTCTGTATGAAGGATAAATTAATCTCCAGATTTAAGTAGAAAAATGATGGTTTAAACACTAATTTAATCAACAATTATGTTTTTGACCCAGTGTTGACTGAAGTGTTTATATTTTGATTAATTTCGAAAAGTGGCAAAACATTATTTTGTTCCTTAAAGATATTTCTGCTGTGTTTAGAGCCAAAATACTCATTATGATCTCACATTTTGAAGCTTGGTAGGAAATATAAGTGTTGTTAAGGAAATATAAAAGAAAACCAAGTGGTGAAAAGCAAAGGAAATGATAGATCTTTTGTGTTATGGAAAATTAACTCGCTATTTCTGTTGGTACTATTATGTCAAATTAGTTATCTCACATGTGACATTCATTAAAAGGCATTTCTCTTGGTTAATCCTTGGATGCTCCTGTGTGGCAGCTTTGTCCTTGATCTGGTTCCAAAGAAGAGACTGAACACTTGCCCGAATTTAAGCCTTCAGCACGCAAAGTTAGAGCCAGGGCTCATGATCCCTGTTTCTGTCTAATGTATTAGGCCATATAACCCTGCTTTCATTCACATTAAATCTTACTCTATTGAAAACAGTGAAAAGAGTAAGACTGGAAAACTACATAAACATGCCTGTTTGATTCAGGATTTGTCTCAGATGTGGGAAGCATGTCTGCCACTGAGGTCCATGTTCTGGGGTATGTGGGCATTCCCTGGCAGGAGTGAGACGTGCAACCCAGGGACTGTGAGGAGACAATTTTGCCAGAGAGGACAGTTTGCTGACTTCCACAGCTCTCCTCTGGAAAAAGAGAGGAGGAAACCAAGTCTCAAAGCAAATAGCTTACGTATGGTCAGAATTATGACATGGGAAACAACCAACACGTTCCCCTCCCCTCCCGCCCCGGGTGTCTTTTATATCCAGAGTGGTGGTTGTATAATTAATCATCCAAACTGGGACACTTGTGAGAGTAAAAGGGGGGGTGCTATTAATAATGACTCAAGGACAACAGGCATAAACTGGGATTGTCCCTGGCAAACCAAGACATATGGTTCACTCTATTTATAGCATGTCCTGACCTCCTTCATTACCTCGAGGATATTAGAGGTGATGATGTCAGGCAGGCAACTGAGTCGCCCAGAGTAGCAAAGTAATCCCTAACTGGACACTACTGTTCTGTCAGGTGTCTTCTTTATCTACCCAAAGTCAGGGGAAAGAAGCTTGTCTTCGGCGCGCATACTCGCTGCTTTGCTCAGAAATGTTTCCTTAGGCAAATGAAAGCACACAGAAGCACCAGAGTTAGTAAGACTCCTTGCCTTGTACAACTTTGCCTCTTGGGCAGCAGTGATTTACCAAGTCCTGGACTTTTGACTGTCGTTTTGAATGAAGTAGTCAAGAAACCTTTCCTCAGGGGCACCCTTTCCTGTGAAAGATAGATAAAGAATGGTCTGGCTTTGCAGTACTGGTCTGGAGTGCCATTTCCAGAGGGAGGGCTGGGCTTCAAAGGAGACTAATGACAAGTGAAAGAGAGGCCAGTGATCCTTATCCACGAGTTCCCTCCCCCAGCCTTCTCCTCCTCCTCCCCTCATTTGATCGTGGTCACAGTGCTGCCTGACATCTGCTGAACGCATTTGGCTCATTTCTCCCTTTCACACTTTCAAAAATAGATCCTCCTCCCTCCCAAGATGTTGTTTACACGAGGGGCTTCATAACGGATTCTAACGGAAGACACTGAAAAGGTAACTTGTCAGAGGGGGAAGAGGGTGGCTGCTGGGGGTAGGGTGTAAGTGGGAATTAAGTATGTTCAAGAAAGCGGGGCTTACAGTCCTAGAAATGAAGGCAGTGAGGTCTTCCAGTGGGAAATACTATTGGAAACAAGAGCTGCAAGAAAAATACGTCCATAGAGTTCAGGGTAGTCTGGTAGCCTAGAGAAGGGCTCTTCAAGGATTACTGGGCACATGAATCACCTGGGATCATGTTACAGCGCAGACTCAGATTCAGTAAGTCTAGGGCAAGACCTGGGAATTGTACGTCTAACGTGCTCCCATGTGATGCCCAGGCTGTTGACACTTGGTACATGCTTTGAATAGTGAGGCTTTAGAGGATATAGGACAGAGGTCAGAAGAACTATGTTCTTGTCCTGGCTCTTGTTGCTCTTCAGGCCAGTTGAGTCATGAATCTCTTATGTACCTTGTATCTAAGATTGAGCTAGTAAGAATTTCCCTATTATATATCACACAGGTGCTTTTGGAACCTACGGTTAAGCAAATGCATTTCAAAAAGAAAAACAAAAATCACTGAGACAGCAGAAAGATGCAAGACTTCATATATAAAACATTTTTAGAGGAAAAATGTTTACGATGGCAGATGGATCACTGAACATGCAGTGCAAACTGAAGTCTTAGTAATGAAATATAGTCCAAATGTGTCCACTTTAAGAGCTAAATACACATTTAAAGAGATCAACTTCTGAGTTTTAAAAACAGAAGTTGGAAATGATTACTTAAATTACAAAAGATCACTTCCCAAAGGATTTATCAGGTCTCTCTTTAAAAGTTTAAATTCCCCTAGGAAAGCTCATATTGAATTTTATTAGATGGAAGCACGTATACCTCTGTTGTTCTTGCACTGACAACAGAACAAACCCAAGAGATGATCTCCAACCTTCACACATCACAAACAAACTCAAAAAACCTCAAGCTCTATAGCCTTTGGAAAAATCTGAGAATCCCTAGGAACTCAGAAACAGACTTCTTGGGCTGACAGATCTGTCTTTGGGGTGAATTTTTCCATAGCTTGGTATCATTTGTCCGGAAGGAGCAAATAGAAAACAAAGACTTGAAAACTGAGTCAGGTATTATCCACCCCCACCCTCAGCTCTCCTTAACTGTTTTGTGATTGGTGGGATTTGCATTCTGGGTGGCTAGAAAGCAGAAGGGGAGATGTTTGTAAGTTTCCTGGCTTCCATACCATGCATAGTATTTTCCATACTTCCTTTGGTGTTTGACAGCCATTTTAACATATTATTCCTCAGGACAACCTCTTAAGGTAGGTTGAAATTATCAAAAATGATTTGTCCCCCAGTGAAAACAGAACTCTAACCCCGCTGGTTGTTAGCATTCTGCTGTCTATGGCTGAGCTCCATCTGTTAGGAATCTCCAAATAAGGAGATGGAAAAATTTCAAGCTTACTTAAATGTGTCAGCTCTCTGCAAGTTCCAGAGCAGATTTGCTGAATCAACAGATGGGATACAAATATTTCTTTTTCATCTCTGAGTCTTCCATGCCTTTTATTCATCAGTGTGATTTCTTGGTCACGGACACAAAGAACTTTACATTCTTAAAAACCAAATAGAAATGTTGCTTTGGCCAAATGTTATAAGCCCAGTCTTAGTCCTTATCTCATGTCTCCATCCTGTTAGAGGAATAGGCAGAAGGGGCAATCAATGGGCAAGATCTCTAGGTGTCAGTAAGCAAGCTCTTTGTGCTATCATGTGCTTGATAAATTGATTAGTTTTAACCTCATCTTTTTAGCCCAGGAAGCTTAATCCTGTTTAGGAAGACCATGGTCTGAATGGCCCGCCCAACTTTGGTTGAAAACAGCTTGTTAACCTCATTGGTTTCTGTCTTGTGAGAAAACATTTCAGAGTTCTCTTTATTTTCCTAACACAGAGCTTCAAAAGTTTTGATGACATGGAAAACAGGTGGTCATGAACAATCTTTCAGATTGGCAGCCACTCAAGGCTTTCTTGCATCTGTTGTTACTTTTGGAAGTGGGTCCTCTCCATCATATTTCTAAGGCCTTTTAAAAGCATGACTAAGCTGCTTTTAGATTAATTTTGTCTTTTCTGACAGTAACATGTCTTGCTTGGCACTGGTATGTCAAAGGACTGGTCCCTACTTGCCTAAATGGAGCTTTTAATTTAGGTTGAGAGACTAGACTCATGTCAAACTACTGGAAGGAAAACAGAGTCATTTTCTTTAGTATATGCACAAAATATAACTGAGGTCTCTGCCTATAGATTTATGTATTCTAAGCATTTATTTAGAGGCTGTAAATTAAGACGGTCTCTGTTTCTTCATCTTACTTCTTATGGCTATGCAATGCTGAAATGTTAGACCAATTTTTGAAACTTTATAACTTTCCTAAACATTTACCAAGTGAAAATCTTATCATTTATCAAGCATCTAGTATATTGCAAAACTCATTCATTAATAGCAACTGCTTTCTTATTCTGATAACCTTCTAACTTGAGAGACCTAAAGGCATTGTCATGGTCTCAAAACACAGTGGTGTCTTTATAAAAGAACCACAGTCCAATGAGACAAGAGTGCTGTTCTCAACTCTGCAAACACAGCCTGCTGTTTAAGGAGAGATATCTCAGTGAAAATCTAGTCTCCCAGGCAAAATACAACTCTTAATTTCACTAATTTGGGTTTCAGATGGGAAGTGGATCAACATTCATCTCATTTGGAATATTAACATTTGGCCTGCATTAGAGAGAGTCTCAATATTTCCAAGAAATGTGTTACCATACTAAGTCTTCTGACTAGAAAACCAGATGACACTAGTAAATTATGAAGTTTACAGCAAACTGGTTGTATAATAGACAAAATTGAAATCACAAGTACAGTAGACATTTCTAGAAAACAGTAACAGCATCTTTAACAAACTAATCCCCCACCGTTCTAACTCCCTTTGTCAACTAAGGAAAAGGGACCACACCCTTGATTATCAAAAGAAAGAGACTCTCTATTAAAAGAGACTTTCCTTGTCCAGAATCTCAAAGGATGTCTCAGGAAATTGAGTGAAATACTTAAAAGCACAATATTCCATGTTTGCCATATTTCCAGTTTGCCATCAGAGAACTTTTTCTCTTTTTGCTCCCTCATGAAATTTTAGCTTTCTGTTTTCAGAAGCCATTCAATTTTATTCTCAGTATTTAACAAAAAAAAACAGATAATTCAAAATCCCAACTTATCTCCTATCCATTTAAACTGGTACCATGTATCATCTTTATGACTTAATTCTCTCACAGAAATCTGGCTTAGAAAGGCTGATTTGGTTGATTTCATAATCTACAACTTAGGTTCATTTCCCAAATCCAGTTGTCTCTTTTCTAGATACTTAGATTTTTTTGTTTGTTTGAAACCTTAGACTTCAGTATATCCTAGAAATTTCTCAATTATGTGATTTATGGATTTGCATTTCTTTCTGATAGGGTCTTGAATGGAAGCATGTAATTCATATAGAACTTAAATGATAATATGTATATGGATTTTGAAATTAATTGAAACTTCTGGTATATTATAACAACAACAACAAAACTTGTCCCATTTTAACAGGTTGTTCTGATTATTTTTTTTCACTCCTAATTAAAACCTACTGAATTGAGACTGTTTTTCAACTGTTGTCTTTTGGTAGATAGTGGTTGAAGTAATAGTCTATTCTGTAAATCTAACCTGCACCAATATTTATTCATTTTTTGGTTACTGTTAAAAGCTATTTGTGGTGGGTTAAGAATATACAATCATCAGCCCCTGCTTTTGTTATGTCCCTTCTGATTTTTCTCATTCTAATAAGATAGCACAATTAATGGGAAGGACTGGTTCCTTAAAATAAAAGTCTGTTGGTAAAATACTTTTAGAAATCATTGCTCACAGCAGGGTGACAGAGATCACTGATACTGAGCAGTAATCAGTTTAATCATACAGTACCTAGGTATTTCTCAGTTACTTACCTATTCACTAAATACTTTCTTGAACGCCAAATATGTGCTAGATATGGTGTTAGCTCTGCCTGGAGGCACAGTGGTGAACAAGGCAGATGAGGTGTCTAATCTCTGGAACTTATAGTTGAGGAATTAAAATAAATGCTAAAAGGAAAAGTAAAGGGTGCTATAGATGAACCTAACTTTGTCTAGACAGTTAAGATCAGGTACCGAGAAAGAAGTAAGAGTTGGAAAATTATCATTTTCAAAAATAGAAGAGTGTAGTATTATTTTGGAACCCTTCCGAGTCTTCCTCCTGCGGTAGGACACCCATACAAACACACACACACCAGTGTTATAAGGGTCTTAAATTAAGGATGTATATTTCTAGTAAGATATAATTATAATTTTTAACCCAGCTTTCCTGGGTTAATTGCTAGTAACTGAACTGAAACAGGCTATTGTGAGTCTTGACTATAATTCTTGACTTGAAGTCTTGACTGCATGGTGTCCCAAATAAGTATTAATGATATAGTTTCCCTATTTGTAGAGTAGCTTTAGTTTTGTTCTCTTTCTGGTCCGACACTTGATCCCCAGAACCACAAACTCCTGTGTGGCTGACAAAATTGCACAGGAATGCAGGCACCAGAAGAGCACATGTCATTCCGTTTATAAGTCTATCTCATTCCAGCCCTCAGTTCAAAGGTATTTTGCTAATCTTAGAAACAACTAGAAATATGTTCATTTAATTAAAATGAGTTGTTCCTTTATATCTATTTAGTATCAAGTAATAGATACTTTGCATCCTAGTCTAAGAAATCTTTACTTTTCCTTTTAAAGAAATTCTTGGATGTAATTAACAGAAAGCCACCAATTACAAATTTTCTGCCCAGTGGTATTCCTAGGTCTTAATTACAGTCTCTGACTTTGGGTTTTTCTCTGCAATAAGAACAGTCAGAAACTATTACCTCTGAGGTCAGGAATACAGAAACTGGATCATTTGCTAGTTTATATAGGATATTTAAACATTTCCAAAATAATGGATGCGGCATGCAGTGTAAGCTGCTCAAGGACTTTTGAGTAAAAGTTATAAAATCAAGGCCAATAAGGATGGAAACTTCTTGATTCTGCAATACTTGGTACCATCAACCAGTGGATCAAGAAAGCCAGAGAAGTCATATTAGGTTGTTTAACTGGTTCTTCAAGGAAACTATTTAATATGGTATTCAGTGATTATCTAAAATGTGTTAAAATGTGTTAGAATTCAAGTCAGCTACCTAGAGTGAGGAAGGCAAAATGCCCTTTAGTTTCTTTTTCCAAATGCCTCCTTCTCTTTCTCCTTGCTCCCAGAAACTAGTGATGTAGGCAGGACAAGATTAAATACTGGTTTAATTGGTTAGCTGATGAAACACCTGCTATCCACCATAAGCAGCTTTCTTCTCTCACCCCAGAAATAAATCATTACTCACTGTATCCAACACAGAAAATACTTTCCCCCTCACCTTGTTCCACTCTCCACTGCTTTCCCCTGCCCTTCAAAACACTTGCCACTAAGGACCTTCAACACACTAAGGGCCTTAGACTAATGAAAGCCTGGGGCTGTAAGGGACCTCAGAGGTCACGTAGTCCAACCTGCCTGCCCCCATCCTAAGCGTTGCACCCATCTGGGGCACAGACTTGCGACTTCATGAAACTAATGCCTGTTATTCTCCCTGCTCTCTCCTTTGTCCCTACAGCGCCATGGCTACTTATTCTGCCACATGTGCCAACAATAACCCTGCACAGGGCATCAACATGGCCAACAGCATTGCCAACCTGAGACTCAAGGCCAAGGAATATAGTTTACAGAGGAACCAGGTGCCAACAGTCAACTGAGGAAAAAATAATTAAACAGGCCTAAGAAGAAGCCAAAAACCATAAGACACCTATCCTGCTCTGTCATTTCTACATCTGCTGGGGAAAAAAAATAAATAAAAACAAACAAAAAAACCAGAGCTAAACTATTGGGACCATGGCAGAGAAAAGCAGGAGAGGAGCAAAATGAAAATTAGTTAACAAATGTTCCTCCTCCCTCTGGGATACCACCACCACTTGTTTCTGTGTGTGTTAATTTTGTTTTTCCTTCTATTCGTATGCTTTGCTTAATATACTCTGAGCTTCTTCAGTTAAGTTCAGCCCACCCACCCCCATGATTGTATGGGTTTTAAAAGAATCAACAGCAGCCAAAGAAACCATATATGTCTATATATATATTCAGAATAATTGCCTGTAGTCTCCTCATTGACCTGTTTGAACCTCAGTGCCTTACCCCATCCTTCTTCCCAGTTTTCTGGATAGAAGCTCTAGGAACTTCTGAAAAGCCAAAGTCTTTCTGAAGAATTTGTGCCAGACATAATTCCCTTGCTCACTGTCTCCATCTCTGTTGGTTATGGTAAGGTTACTCCTTCAGCTACTATGGGGAACAAAAAAAGCAATTGTATACAACATCTGGTCACTGGCCTATCTAATCCAATGTGATTGGCTATGTCTGGCTAATTCTAAGCTCTAAGCTCTAGATTTAAACTCTAAGCAATAGAGGATAATATCACCTCACTACTACCCCTCACCCCTATCCAAGCAGTCATCTTAAGTTAAAGATATTTGTTGTTTCTTGAGTAATTTGCTAACATAGGCTTATCTGATAGAAGACATATTTTTCACTTGAGAGAGGAAGAGACATTTCTCTAGGAAAACAAACACTTAAGTTGTGAAAGGCATGGCCTACATCTCTTTGGTGCCTTAAGGGTAGTCAGATGCACACTTATATATATACTGTATATATTTATATATTATATATATATATATATATAAAATATTCTTGCAAGCTTGAGTTTGCAATTTCTCAAACACTACCAAGAGCAAATTTCACACCATCACCAGTGTCCTTATTTCTACCGTGGTAAGACTTTTAATTAGGGATCTTGTTTCCTTTCTTTCTCTACACAAAATTCTCACTATGGCCACAGAGCAATTGATAAAGCAGCTGTCTGAGAACAGTTATAACTTGCACATTAGCATTTTAAATAAATTAGAAACAATTGAGGCTATGAAAATGTCCTTAAGTTTGGCACCTGAACTCTGGTGAAATGCTGATGCATACTAAACTATCATGAGAATTAGACATAGCAGAGGAAAAGCCATTTAGTTATCTGTCCTTTTTCCACTCAACAGGAATACGAAAGATACATGATTCAGTGAAATACTTAAAGGTTTATATAAATTCTAAGAATTTGAAAGGCAATTGTTGGCTATTTGTATCTTCTAATCTATTGAAATAAAGTTTAGTATCTAGGGCTGGGAGCCAGGACTGACTGATCTTTTGTTTCTTTCTCTTTTGTTTCCACCCATGCTTTTGAAACTTGTCAGGTAGACACGACCAAACCACATTATCATGCTGTGCCTTGGTTTACCTTTTTTTTGTAAAATGGGTTTAACAGTACTTACCTACCTCACAGGGGTGTTGTGAGGCTCTAATCATTTGCTCCTTTATCCTTTCCTGTATCCTCTGTATGTCCAGCACTTTGTAGCCATGGGAGGGAAGGGACTATGAAAGTATACTATGTTAACAGAAGCTTTAGATTGATTTTGGCCAAATATGCCAACTGTGAGTAACAGGCAAGGATTTGGGACTTAAGCTCCACTTTCAGGACACATTTGTGATTTTCCCTGGCATATCAGATTGAACTAATGGTGGTATTTTCCGTCAAACAGTCATCAATTTGAAAATGTATTTCCAATGTTGATTCTAAACTTTTTTTTTAATAAGAAGGAAGCCCCTCTTATATGCATATTGCTTTCATCAACTGATTTCCTCTTTTAACATACTATTAAATCATTTCTTACTGAATGGTTTATGTAGGCTGGCTGAACAATACACATTACTGCTTCCTATTCTTCAACTAATTCTCTTGTCCCACTAGCTGCTGAAGATTATCAAGTTTTCATCCTAACAGATTAAAACATTCTTTGTGAAAAGAGTGCAGTCCAAGAAACTAGTGAACCTTTGGAGTTTGGGGAGAACAACTAAAAAAAGATTTGCGGTGTATAGTGCAGGGAATAGACATCATAGGTGAAAAGATTTTGCTAAAAATGGGGGGAATCTTAGAAGAGGGAGTAAAGAGATAGAGGATCATGTAAAACAAAGTCATTTGAAACTTTCGTCCTGACATTCATTTTGAATGGTGAAGAGAAAAGCCTGAACCCCCATAACCCCAGTGCTGGATGAAATTAGGCAGTGCCTGGGCAAGTGCTTGCTGTCCAGGAATATCATAGAGTAATCAATACTGTCAGTCATAGGAGCTTTTATTGCTAGTGAATCAAAACCACAAGCATCGACTATGTAAGGATCTGATGGAGAAATATACACAGGGTACCAGCACTCAGTTTTGTTCATTCATTATTGATTTTTAAAAAATAGAAGTTTCATATGTGATTTGGAAGAACAGCATTCTGGCTCCTAAACCAGGTGTGAGAGGGCCTCAGGGCCACGAAGTTCAAAGGCATATCCCTGTTCTTCATCATCTATACCCAGATAACAGATGAATACATGCCAACCGTCTGTGTTCCCAGTCCCAAACAAGACACTGATTTGTAGAGTACTTGGCAGGTTAAATCAAGCTGGAAGAGGTGACTGGATAAAAAAGGGAATGACATTTAGGGTATAAAGATCTCATAAGAAATGTAATATGTAAATTATATCTTGCTTTATGATGTAAAATATACATTGTTTGCGCTAGAATAGAAGTGATTCCTTTTCAATAAAAAGAAAGAAGAATACGACTATGTCTGCTGAGTCTGATGGTTCTTTTCCCTTTGAAATTTAAAAACAGATCTGCTAAGATCTAAGACTGCATTCAGAAAAAAAGTGAAGGTAAGAGGAATTTCTGAACAAGAGAACTTCTTAGAGTATAATAATATTTTCTAAATATTTTGTTTGTTTCTCACAGACAAAGGCAACAGTGGGAGAAAGTGGGGGCATTTTTTAGTAGAATGGGTAAGTGTAGAGTGAACCTTTAAGGAGAGTTTTGCTATTTTTCACCCACCCCTTTAGTATCCACAATAATGTATATCATTAGACAAAACAGATTAAGGACAGCCTTTTCTTTTAGAAAAAAGAAGTAACAAAGTAGAATTTCTTAAGCACCTATTATTAAAGTATTGAGTGTGTAGTAAGTGGGGGAGGGGGTGGTAGAAAAATGAAATAGGAAAATGAGTTATTTTTCATATAAATTAAAGTAAATCTGATTTAAATGGCAACTATAGCATGAACAAGTTTACGCAATAGAAAGTGAAGTTGCTAAGTCGTATCTGACTCTTTGCGACCCTATGGACTGTAGCCTACCAGGCTTCTCCATCCATAGGATTTTCCAGGCAAGAGTACCGGAGTAGGTTGCCATTTCCTTCTCCAGGGGATCTTCCCAACCCAGAGATCAAACCCAGGTCTACAGCATTGCAGGCAGACGCTTTACCCTCTGAGCCACCAGGGAAGCCTGTAGTTCAAGACAATAAATGTGTCCAAGAAATAAAGCAGATGGGAGCTCAGAAAAGGAAGCAAGAAAACACTGGGCTGGAATGGGAGAGAGTTTCACCGAGGAACTGGGACTTGAGTTTCATCAGCAAGGATCTGGGCAGGAGAAGGGGAGGTGATGGATTTCAGGTGGGGAGTGGTACAGAATAAAGGATAAAGGGAGGGATACAAGAATGAGGAATTTGTGTTTCAGGACCATGGCAAGATGGGCCTAGAAGGGATGGAGAGCTTATTTTGAAGCAGAGTAGAAGAAAACACTGAAATTGAAGTTGATTCTTCATCTTGCAATGTATTATGTGTCAAAGGAGTATGGATTTTTCCTCAGGCCATTGAGATTCATTGAAAGTTAGCAGGATTGTTGTGGTAAAAGGATGAAGATGAACTAGAGCAGAACAGAAACTGGAAGCAGAACAGAGAGAAGAGGAACAGAATACAAAGGATTCATAGGAAACATCTTGCAAGGAAAAAAATCAATAGAACTTTATGATGGGAGAAAGAGACTAGAGTCAAAGTAACCCTGATTTGAAACCTGGGCACGAGGGGGATGAATCACTGACAAAAATCAACAAAAACAGGAGCGGGCCAATAGCAGGAGAAGATAATCACAGAGAAGAGGGCCAATATATCTTTCTCCTTAACAGGAGAAAGTCTAAGGACTTTCCTTCCAGTCCATTGGTTAAGGCTCCATGCTTTCACTGGGGGCAAGGGGGGTGGGGTGGGGGCGTGGGGCACGAGTTTGAGCCCTAGTTAGGGAGCTAAGATGCCACATGTGACATGGCATGGCCAAAAAAAGAAAACCTGAAATGTAAGTGTTTAGTAAGTGAAAAAGTAGGGCTTAGAACTGAGGTTAATGGTGGAGACAGAAATTTGGGATTCATCTTTAAGGAAGTGACACCTTATACAGTATTAATAATTCTTCAAGAAGAGAGAGTATCATTGTTACTCGAATAATTATTTCAGTAAGTGCGTTTTGGAAGTAGTTAGCCCAGGGAAAAAGACAGGACTTTGAAAAACACTTCCGATTAGGAAGAGAGCTACTGAAAGCAATTTACAAGGAGCTTTTTAAGAAATAGAGGAAAGCTTAGCTTCTTTGTTATCTCAGATTTAAGAAAAGAGAAGTTTTTAAAATGATGGGAACCACCTTTCTCTAATAATTAACGATGTTGAACATCTTTTCATGTGCCTCTCGGCCATCCGTGTGTCTTCTTTGGAGAAATGTCTTCTGCCTATTTTTTGACTGGATTGTTTTGGTCCTGTTAAGCACCATGAGCTGTTTGTAAATTTTGAAGATATCACACCACACCAGTAA